ATATAATAACGTGAACAAGCACATGAAATTAATTACAATGGTTTCTGTTTATTAGCATCCAGTCCTTTTGACTGAAGCTCCATTTAATTTAAGAAACAATAAGATTCTGCTGCACAAATGTTTTTTGAACGTTCAATCACCAGCTTTGTTCACATCAATTCAAGCTGTCTTGAGTCTGTAAGTATAAATGTAGAGAGAGAGAGAGAGAGAGAGAGAGAGATAACCATTTTTTTTAAAAAAAGTTAAAAATTTTTTGTTTATAAAAAAAAATTTTACGCTAGTTATTCTTCAGGTCGAACAACTGGTATAGTCCTTGATTCCGGTGATGGTGTAACTCATGCTGTACCAGTGTATGAAGAATTTTCTTTGCCTTATGCTATTCGCAGAATTGATATTGCAGGCCGGTAAAGTATTATTATTAATAATATTAATATTATCAACACCATTGCTATTTATTATTAATATTAGCACCATTATCAATCAAAAACACTATCAACACTATTTATTGTTGCTATAATTATCATTATGTGACTGACTTTCTTTCTCTTTTCTCAAAAAAAAAATTTTTTTATTTTTATAATGACGTTACAGAATATTTACAATTGCTTCTTCATAGATCTGGTTATAATTTCCATACCACTGCAGAAAAAGAAGTTGTACGTACTATAAAAGAAAAGATTTGTTATGTTGCAATAAATCCGAATAAAGAAGAAAAAGATACCAATAGAGAATTTAGTGATTATGTATTACCTGATGGTAGTGTTGTTAAGGTAAATAAATGTATACAATTTTTTTTGGAATTAATAAAACCAACTTTTAAAGCTATATATTATAATAATTTATTACAATACTGTAATAGTTGAAAACTGAAAGATTTAAAGCGCCAGAAATCTTATTTAAACCGGAATTGATTGGAGAAGAGTATGCAGGCGTTCACAAGTAGATTTTTGATTCATTAATAGAGTAGATTTAGATTTAGGAAAATCTTTATTTGCAAATGTTGTGTTATCTGGCGAATCAACACTTTACAAGGGTAAATTATTATTAAGATGTGTGTGCATGTACATATGTAATATATTGGTTTTACTTTACTTATTGCTATTATCACCATTATCACCATTATCATTATCATTATCATTATCATTATCATCATCATCATCACCATCATCATCATCATCATTACCATCATCATCATCATCATTGCCATCATTATATTATTATTATTGTTTACAAGATTTTGGTACAAGATTGCTGAATGAGGTGAGGAAATTGGCCGTCAAAGATATTAAAATTAAGATTTATGCACCACAAGAAAGAAAATATAGTACATGGATAGATGATGAATCTATATTAGTAGCTCAAGAAGGTAATACAAACCCCCCAAATAATCGTATCATTATTGATAACATATTAACATATTTATAAATTTGTTTAGATGTGGGTTTTCAGCTGAAGAAAATCCACAACATTAACCATAATTTATTACCATTTGATTTAATTATGTGCAGCAAAATTATTGCAAAGAATTTTCCGAATGTTCCAAAATTGTCATTTATTGGTAAAAATTTTTATTCCTACAAAAACAATGGACAATTAGTAAGAAAAACTAAAAATAAAATTTAACGTTCAATCCAGAACAAAGAAAACGACACCATCAACAAATCAAAATATTGTTTCGATTGATTAATTGCTTCCAAAAATTACAACTTTGGTAATTTGTGTGCAATTGTGTGTTCAAAAATGCATGTAATTAATGTTTTTTATATAAATAATAAAGCCCACGCTATACATTTATTTAAATTCCCTTTTTCATGTAATCCATTCACTAGATCACAAAATATATTTGCTACATTTTATGCAATTAATATTATTTAATAATATGAATGAAAGCATAATAATAATAATATATTTGTTACTATATTCCGCAATTCCGAATGTAAAATGTAATAGTGATAATGAATCAGCTGGTTGTTTATTTAGGAAATATCTATAATAATTAACACAACAACAACAACAACAGCAGCAGCAGCAGCAGCAACAGCAGCAGAAACATTAGAATTATCTTCAGCAACAGCAGAAGCAGCATTAATAGTAACAACAATAAATAAATAAATTAAATCAGAGTCAACTCTGAGTTAAGAGAGGAAAAATCATGTATTTAATATTACAAATGATACACGCGAATTTGCAACAGCAGAAGAACAACAACAACAAACAACATTATTAAAAAACTCTCGGTTTTCAAACAATGGATTTTCGAAACAGTTCCACAATATCATACATAGTAAGTATTCTATAAATATAATATCATTCATTGTTTTCCTTATTTCACTCGTTCTATATTCTTCCTTCTCCTTCTTAATAATTAAACCAATCAAATTTCAACAAGTAAAAAACAAATAAACGAATTTTTATTATCCGTCAGTTTCAGTTTCAGTTTAAACTTGTCCGTATATAGAAGAGATGTGCATACATAATAATAATAAGAACTTTTTTTGGAAAACTATTTTATCCATTAATATTAAGATTCTGCCAATCGATAAGATATGTCTATATATGTGAATGCATAACGAGAATCTATAATAAATGTTTTTAGATATATGCATTAGCTGGTCTTTTTGGCGCATTGGGATCTTTAACTCTCTTTATTTTTTTGATAGTTTTGCCACCATCATCTTCATTGCCTTTTTCTCGTGGATTGATTAAATTCTTTCTTTTATTATTATTATTGCTAATACTTTTAATAGTTGGTGAAATTGCAGTACTAGTAGTTGTCCTTGTTGTAGATGTTATAATATCAGTAGAATCAGTAGTGGGAAATGAAGTTGAAGAAGCCGGAGGTGAAGAGGTTGACGATGTTTCCGCTGTTGCTGAAATTTTAGGCGATTTAACAATTACTGGCATAGTAGGTAATACGCGTTCAAAATTGTTCATATTACTACTGATGCTATTATTATTAGAAATTTGAGTTGCCATGTTAGTAATAATAAGTCTATTATTGAACACTTCATTAGAGATTGGTGATTGTCCAGCACCTTTTTGTAAAGGGGGATCTGGAATAGATCGACCGTCATTCATCAATTAAAAGGCATTGAATTTTTTAAATCATGCTTTGTTTCAAAGGTTGACTCATTTTGTCATATATAATACACAAACTCTACCTTAAATAATTGAAAATACATGATCCATAAATTACTACAATTTTCTTATGTGTTCCGTTCATCCCCTGCAACAAGGTTTGACTGTAAATTATATCCTTTATCAATTAAATTTAAAAATATACACAACTTTAGCTTAGCAGATAGTTTGGGCAATTAGAAAATTTTTCCAAAAATCATTATTATTATAATTTATAATAATATTAATATAAGAAATTCCATTATATTGAGAGGAATTTTATTATTATTATTAAACCATTCTTGGGCTCAATCTATTAGGTTGAACTGAGATTCACTGTGTAATGTAAATTTAAATTATCAAACAAAAAAATTTAGGAATCCAATTGATTCGAATTGAATCGAATCAAGTAAGGGCGAATAGAATCATTTTAAAATTCGGATCGAATCGAATTCGTTCGAAGCCTTACAAATGACTTATGTATGACCAATCATCAAAAGTCATGTGGTCATAAATTATCATTGGGGAATTCCTGATCAGACTCCCATGTGTTGGAAGATGATCTCGGTCACTTTGGTGCTTTATACGTCACGCCCATCGATCAATCAAAAAAATTTTTTTACTAATCAAAAAATTAAGTATGGTCAAACAGTACATTGTACCTGCTTTAGCAGCAGTAGCTGTATTCACCACATTATACATTACTTTAACTTCAAACAAACAAAAACGTAATCGAATAAAAAAAAAGAAAAAATCCAAACATAAAGAATCAGAAAAGTCTTATGTACATGGTTTGGTCAATCAAGGAAACAATTTATGTTTTTTAAACTCTGTACTTCAAGGTCTTGCATCCTTGAAGAAATTTCTAACATATTTAAGAAATAAAACTTTAAATCCTGAAAGACCTGTTACAAATGCTTTATACACAACACTTGAAAGGCTCAATCAACCTTTAAAATTTCGTCGCTCCTTTGTTGCATCAGATGTCGTATTTGCCATGGAAAACAATCAAACAATTCGACATATTGTTAATAGACAGCAACAAGATGCACATGAACTATTCCAACTTTTGTTGCAATCTTTGAGTTATGAAGATGAAATGAGTCGACGTCCTAAATCGCTTTTAGATCTGGAAATGATACGTTTACTGGCAAATAATGAAAAAATTCCATTATTAATCGGAGAAAAAAATCCTCTTTTTGGATTAACAGCTTGTCGAATTTCTTGTATGAAGTGTGAATATTTTGGTCCAATCAGACATTCAACATTTGATAATATTTCTATTCCACTTCCAAGAGAAAACTCAACAACTTTAGATAAACTTCTTGGAACCTTTGTTGGAATAGATTTTATTAACGAATATAATTGCCCAAGATGTAGTTTACAAGAAACATTATCAACTATTGAAAATCAATTGTCAAAAGTTAAAGTTATTGACAAAAAACTTCTTGAGGATCGTGATTTGATCACAAAGACACTTGAGACAGATATAGACAGAGAAATTGACAATGAACTAAAAGTCGTCAATCTCGTTCATAAAAAATTACCAGCAATTAAACAAACAATTTTTGCAAATCTTCCTCAAGTACTGGTGATTCATCTATCACGATCCATATTTCTTACAAACGGAATTTCTTTGAAAAATTCATGCCGGGTTGAATTTTCTGAAATAGTTGATATGTCAAAATATACAACCATTGGATATTCTGCTACAATGCCAAGTGAACCATTATCCCCTTCATCGCCAATATCTCCTTCACCAATTGCATCACCTGTTTTGGCTGGAATTAATGACGATAATAAATATCAACTCAAGACAGTAATAGTTCATCAAGGAGACCATAGAAATGGCCATTTTGTTACTTATCGCAAACGTGAAGATAGTGTTAACTGGTGGTATCTCTCTGACGAAAGTGTTAAAGAAGTCAGTTTATCTCATGTTCTCTTAGAAGAAGCATATATGCTATTTTATGAAAAATGTTAAATTCAAATAATTTTATTTTCAATCATGAAATATAAAATTCAACATTAATTTTTTCTAAACACTTTAAAGATTTTAATCTTATAAATATAAACTATTTATGTGTATATATTAAAAATCATTTCATTGTAAATATTTCCCATTCTTTTTTAATTAGATCAAACCTATATAATAATAATAAACTGAACGAACATCCATCATCCATCTATATCTTAA